ATTATATCCCAGTCATTTTGTTCTAAATATTCACTTCTCAAATTAGGATGTGATTGTACAAGACCATCAATAACATCTTTAATTTCAACAAATCGTTTAAGCATAAAGTAGGTAGAATTCCACCTTGTATCAACATTGAGCTCAGGATAAAGAGGTGGACGATCTAGGATAGCAGATATTTTTTTAATATTCTCTAAGAGCAATGGCGAATTTCTAATTTTATTACATAGATGTCGTGTTTTTTTTATTTGACTTAAATATAGTTTTTGACCTTCTTTTACTATGAGATTCAGAACATGCACTGCACAGCATATATATATAAGTTTAGAGTTCATATGTTGCTGAAGATAACGCAGGCAAGTTTGGTTATTAGGCACATTATCGCCCATGAACCTGATTATTTTTTCTTTAATATCAAAGTCCTTTACAAGCTCAAGGATTTTTTCTCCAAGGTAATCACCGGTATGAGCGTTATGTAAAGGGATAAAGTCTAGAAGAATAGTATGCAATGTCTACTTGACGTCAACCCAATGGACGGTGACTCCAAGAAAGGGCTGCTGAGTATATGCAGTCTATATATCTAGGGTAAGGGCTAATTTACTTTTATTATTTTTTAAAAGGTCTTTTACTTTTATTTTTCTAACTCGAATAGCTTTTTAATATTTTCAGACATGGATTGATGACAGGGGATCTTGTAACGTGGGTCAAGGGTGGAAACAAATTTAGCAAAGCAATTCTCTTCCAAGAGAGAAAAAGGCTATTGACTAATAATAATGAACTCCAATAGATTACAGTCTAATAATTCTACGTAATTTTTATCAGCAATTGAATATGGAGAATGGCGAACAAGTTTTGTAGCAAATTTTCCAAATACTTTAAAAGTATTTGGATGTTTTTGTTCAAAGTGGCGCGTTATAGGCATTAACGATGTGAGTGGACCCCATTTACCTACAACACCTTTATCTTTATCACAGACTTTACAAATACGAGTGCTATCTTCAAGTATATCAAGGTAATTGTGAATAGGTGCAGATTTTTTTTTTATCTATTTTTTAATTTGTTGTTAGTTTGGTTCTGATTATTAACGCTTTCAAAAGAATTTTGTGTGTTATTAAAATAAGATTTAATTGTTTTAACAAACATGGTGTTAATAGATTAGATCAATATTAAAAAGAGATGAGACAATTTTAAATTTATTTTTTTTTAATGAAAAATGAGCCAACTTTTATATTTGAATTTTTTTTATTTTTTTAAATGTATGTTTAATAAAAAATAAATAAAACTTAATTACAATTATTATATAAAATTTTTTAATGCTAATTTTAAATTATAATAAAATTATTTGTACTCTTTGTGTGTGCACCGGCTCTGGCAACGAGAATAGCATAAATAGTTCCAAAATAACGCTTATGCACGTTCCGAAATAATGGGTGATAATATGGTAACAATATTTGTCTTGTTTTCGCCCAATTTCCAGTTAAGATTGTGATCTCTATGATCAATCAGGTTGAGTAAATAATGCGAAATTCCAATTACATACCTTTTATTTATGCAACTTTACTTAAACAAGAAAATCCATACAATCATGCTGGTACTTAGTGTTGGAACAAGTGCGATGGGGAATTGAACGTTGATAATCATAGCCTGTTCGTTAATCCCCAGTTTAATAATAAAGCTGCAATAATTAACTATTCTAAATCCCAATTATATACCTTTATTTATGCAGCTTTTATTTAAACAAGGAAATCCATACAATCCTTAATTATTTAAGTAGTATTATCGTGATTGCAAAATTCCTTATCCCATTGATTATCCAAGCGATGATTATTAACACAATCGATTGATTGTAATGAAAATAAGTGCAAATTTGATCTGATTTATTATTTTTCCTTTAAAAGATCATTTGATGCTCTTAAGCATAGTAGAAGTATTCACTACCACACAATTACAATCGCAATTGGCAGTGATGATCATCACTTGAGCGATCAATAGGTATTTGCAAATCACGACAAACCAAATACGATGGTGAATTAAACGTTGATAATTGCAGACTGTTTGTTAATTCTAAAGCTGCAATGCAATAAATAATTAACGATTTTAAATTCCAATACATACTTTTCATTTATGCAACTTCTACCTAAACAAGAAAATCACCAACGCCTAACCATTTAAGTAGTATTGGTGAAAGTTATACACCAACTATAAATAATTATACCCAATTGGGACCTCTCAATAACAATCAATAAGTTAATAGTCAAACTCGGAAATTGACTAATTGCTTCAAGTAATGCGTCTGTACATATCTCTAAAAAGCGCGCAGATACTCAATAACATGCATTTGGCGTACGTTATTTCGCGATTTTACAGTAATCGTGCCTTCAATTATTAAGATGCTAAAGAAAATAATATTAATAAAAAGTTAATTATATACCTTCTCAAATTATTATATAAGGACACATTCCTTCCTTTGCCTGTTCATTAATTTGTCTATTTGAATTAAAAACAATAATCACATAAATTCTCTTTCTTCTACTAATTCGCCTATTCAAATTAAAAAAAAATAGTAATTGAATAAATTCTCTTTTTTCCACCAATTCGCTTATTTGTTACTTCGTTATCTCTAAAAAATTTGATAATATCATCTCACTTGTCTGAAAATTCTTCCGCCTTGTCCTCTCAACATTCTCTTATAATTCAATCAAAAAAAAAACTGGCTTATGAATATCTTAGCGAATCTGATAGTTTTGAAACTTTCAATCTCTGCGATACGTGTAAAAATTTCTTAAACTCAATTGCTAAAGAACGTCATATAAAGTTATTAAATCGCAACTTATTGCGATAGATTGTAATTAGGAATCAACCTTTATTAACCATAAAAGACAATTCCTTCAGTAACTTCATTTCTACTCTTAACCCACACTATAAAATCTCCTGTTCTCAAACTCTTTCTGAAGGTATTGAAAGACAATTCGAATTAGCAAGAATAATTGTAAAAGATTTTTTGAAAAATAACAAAAGCAAACTGTCCCTTACTATAAACACGTGGGCTACACCTTCCCAACAGTCCTTTCTCGGGGTTACCGTTCATTGAGTAGATAACGAGTAGATGATGCATACTATTCTTCTTGATATTATCACTTTACCTGATATCTACATTGATGATTATATTGGAAAAAAGGTCCTCGAGCTCGTAGAGGACTTAGAAATTAAACCAAAATTAATTGGCTTTACTGGAGATAACACGTTAAATAACCAAAATTGTTATAATTATCTCAAGGAAGCTATAAGTCCCTTCTTCATGTTTATTCATTGCCCGTTACATGTTGTTAATCAAGTAGCTGAAGAATTTCAAAAAAGTTACTACGACTAAATTAATAAAGCCCATAATTTGTATAACAAATTAATAACATCACCTTTGCTCTTAAATTAGAAAGAATTTCTGTCTTGTTAAATCATTCACTGATTTATCCCAAAATTAATAAAAAAGGATGGCATTTCGCTTATTTAATACTTGAATGGTTCATTCAAGTTCGTATTATCACCGATAAACTTACTCATTCCCATCCAGATATCAAGGAAATTTACTTCAACCTTGTTGATTGGGAAATAATTAAAGAAATGTTAAAAATCCTTGAGCCTCTTTACATAGCAATTTCAGTCGTGTCACAACCTTCTTATGAAGGTATACAAACAATTATCTGTGGTCTCTTATCACACTTTAATAATTACCTTCTTAATAAAGCAGTAAGGGAAATAAGAGATGCTCTAAGGGAGCATTTTTACTACCTTATGAAATCTTCCACTATCCCCGTTCTACTTGATCCGTCAACAAAGTTCGAAACCTTTGACGACGAAGGTGATCAAAATTTAGCTACGGCTGAAATACGTGTGATCTCTTCACAATATAAACTAAACCAGCCGGATACAGTACCTCAAATTGAAGATCCTCTAAAATTTTTCCATCAAATGTTGCCTGGCAAAAAAGATAAAAATGAGCCAGTAAGTAAGCTAAACATATACCTTGCTTTACCTAGTGAGCTGGGAATCAATACGCTCATGTGGTGGAAAAATAATGCTTACCAGTACCCAACCTTAGCACTTATGGCAGCAGACTTTTTTTCCCTACAAACTACTAGCATTCCCTCTGAGAATGCATTGTCCGCGGCAAAGGAAATTATTAGGCCTACAAGAAACTGCCCACTAAAGCAAACAGTTAAAGCTTCATTATTTTTAAAAAATTGGTTAGAAGCAGGAATTTTAGAATAGACAAAAATTATTATAGAATATGAATTATCTATTATATTTCAGTATATTTTAATAAAATAAAGTTATCTGTTATCAATTATCTATCGTTATAGTCCCATGATATCTAATATTGCATGTGACTATTAGAACTCGGTTCAAGTCAGACTCAGAACCGAGTCTAGATTAAAAACTCGACTCATGGAGTCGAGTCGAACCGAACCGAACTTTTAACATCCCTAGCTACAGGTATATATTTTAGTAAATTGTCACTTGGCGTGATGTTAGTTAAATGAGCTGTCGAAACGATCGTCGGTGAAGTAGGGCGGTTCCATATAGAATACTTTTATAATTTAAAGGTTTATACATTTATATTGTAACAAATAAATGCGTAAATTTTGCATATAATTATTTTGGTTTTGTTTATTAATATTGCTTGTAGAAGCAAAATACAAAATGATTAAACCTTAACGTTGCGGTCAAATAACAGAATTAAAAGTAATTTAGCACTTCAAACAAAATTATACAAAAATTACACAAAAGGTTAATCAATGAATTAAATACAGTTAAAGATAATATTAAAACCATAAAATTTATGTAAAGATTATCTAATTCTACAATGATCCTAAAATTATATATAAAATTTATAATGTTTTTCCTACATATAATTTCACGAAGCTACTATACTTTGCATTTGGATAGAATCCTTTTCATTGAAAAGCGGTTTAAGATTTATATTAGAATCACTTTCAACTTCATCACAGAAAGCGATAGAATTTCTTCTATATCTCATTTCACCAGTACCTAATAACATTACGTTATCACCAACATCATTAATTTCATAACCATCCAACCATATATATTCACCACCATTTTCATCTTCAACTTCTTTGATAGCTTTTCTTGCGAGAATCCATACATAAATTATTATACAAATACCAATAGCAATACTACATAACATTAATATAAAATGAAAATATTTTGTAAAATTATCATCTTTTGATAAAGAAGGTTTAGTAGAATTATCTATTTCACTAGATATTATTCCAATATGAGTAGAAAAAGCAGAAAATGAAGACATTTTTGTTCCTATCCAAACATGAATCATGAGTTTAAATAGGGATAAAGCAGTAGCGGCAGTGAAAGTTGGTAAAGATAAATGAGTAGCCGAAAGTAGCATGTTGAGTATATTATAAGGATAAGGTGCTATACGTATAAGAAACAAAAGCTATAGAAAAATAAGTAAACGATTAGAAATTGATGAAAAAAAAGAAGTCATATTCATATATAAATATATATATATATATATCATACCTTGAAACCTTTTTTTTCAACAGCTCTAACAACAGCACTCATCGATTTATTCCTATTCAACCATTTTCTAACAGGTTTTTTAAACCATCTTCTACTCAACCAGAATACAGTGACAGCACCGGTTAGGGCAGCAAAATAAGATATCAAGAAACCTAAACTAAAACCATATATAAATCCTGATAGAGTTATTAATGTACTGTAACCAAATACTAACGGGAATGTGGTCAAGAATATTATGCAGTACAACATTATTACACCACTATATTTTTTTTAAAAAAAAATTTAAAGGGTTAATCATTTCAACAGGTTATTTTTAATAACAAAAAGCGTTACAGCATTAAAAAAAATTTCGTAGAGACATACCCAATTCCCATAGTTTGTATTTTATGTATAAGTTTCTCTAATCCTATTAAGACTTTATCTTTTTGTATTATAAAAAAACATATTAATATTCCTACGAAGAGTCCATAAATCAATAAAGGAATCCATGGAACCAATTTTTTCAGTATTACACTGATGTTCCTATGCCATCGATGCTTGGCATTTGTAAAAATTTTCAAATATAAATCACTACTAGTTTTAAAACAACTATTAAGATTGATAATAGCCATCGAGAAATGTTTTGTGGTAGATTTTTTTTTTAAAAAAAGCTTAAATAATCAGACAATTTTTTTTTTTTGATAGATTATAAATTTAGAAGAATTGTATATATAATAAGATATAAAGATTATTTTGCGAGAAAGTTTAATATGAAGGTGATATATAATGATTTATTAGTAATTGAGTACTTTTTGAAACCGAAGATTTATATAACAATAAGCAAGGAGATCGTAACTATTTGAGTTGTTGCCGTCATGAAAACTATTTTTTAAACTAGTGAGTACAAGTTCGCCGTTTACTGTGGAAATTTTTATAGAAAAGAATAAATCGAAAAAAAGAATATATATAAGTTATAATGTGGGATGGTGTTAATGATCTTTGTTACAAATTACACGTTGTACAAGTGTAACACACGATTGGTGTAAAATTTTCGAAATTCCCTATTATGCACATGCCGCAATCATTTACTACATACGTACATACTAATACTTTAATGTAATTCTGTAATTAATATATATTATGTTACAAATAATATGTTACAAATTTTAATGTGAAAAGATCAGTCTTGTCAGCGGGTGTAGATCAAAAATTACATGAGATCCACGAATAATTACAGAATTATCAACATTAGTCTTTGTCTTTATTGTCTTTGATCATTAATTTTCAATTTTTACTTTTTTTTATTTTTTATAATGATATAGTATCATCGAATTAAAGAGGTTAATTCCATACTATACAAAGTATTTTATTCATAGCAGATAGTACATTTCATGATTGAAAAACCGCCTCACAAGACGTGTTGATCACTTTGCCACTGGGCCTGATCGTCAGCGTGTCCGGAATGAACACGTCCATGTGGCGATACCTTATGTAAATCAAAATGATCAAAATTACTTATCGGATATATATGGTATCAGTTAAAAACTTTCTCTTACCAGTTCAGTCGCAGGCCAATCGTTAATATATTACGCAAAAAAATATCATGCAGTGTGTCGTATCAGTGTCGATTATACGTACGTATCAAGTATAAACTTTACCAAAAGATCTACGTATCGGTATATGTACAGTACGTACGTAGTAGATTAAAGGTTAGGTACAGTACTTTACGTTAAGTTTTACACGTGATAAGTGTAAGCGTGACCTCTATAGGACTTGAAAAGCAAGTGAAAAAAATTGGATAAAATATAGGGCCGCAGGTCATGTAATGATCACCCTATCACGATTACAGAAAGTTCTCAAATGAGTTAAAAATTTCCAGTTTAAAGGAAATTGCTATAATTATAATCTTTGGCCATTTCCTGATTTAACCCGTTAGAGCTACGAATTTATTTAAATTTCGCCATAGTATATGCTTAAGTAAAATTTAATCTACGTAAAAATCTTTAATAGGTTGTTACGTATTATATTTAATTGCGTGCGTACGTACGTACATATTTAGTATATATAACACACCAATGTTGTCGTGCCCCTGATCCTTCTCCAATGTTTATATGCATTAGCAATAGGAGCAAAGATCACATAAACATAACAATACATGACTTTTGATTCCTTAAAATCTTTTTTATTGTGTCAAACTAGACAGAATAGGCAAGTACAGTAGATCCATTTCTTCGGAAATAATAAAAAGTTAACGTGATAAATATTTATTTATATGTATCATGGAAAATTCTGTAACTCGAGTCGTACGTACGTACGTACGTACGTATGTACTAAACTGTAAAAAAATACATAATTTTATTCGTGTAACAATAAATGTTAAGCCCTGGAAGTACTGAAATATTAAAAATAGACAGTAAATAAAAGGTGTATTAGTGTTCTTAACTTTTAACATGTTTCTAAAGTGATTAAACTATCAAATAAAAGGTTGGTTCTCATGTCTTCTTGTAAATCATCAGTGGTGTAAGAATGCTTTACCGATTTTATGCTCCTTTAATATTGAAATCTCGTCCTTAATCATTTAAAAAGACTGATAAAAATATTTTTTTAATATCTTCTAAAACTATTATTTGACTGTTAATTCCCGGTAGATATTTCATTAATTAGCTTAATAAAAGATCACATAATTATACTGATAAAGAATGTGAGCAAGTGATAACTATGGCACTTTGTAATAGTGATGTTAATCGGTCCGCAGTAATTCTCCGATGATTTTGAGCAAGATTGTTAAAAAAGTTGACATATTTAACTGGTATTCGTCCAATAAGTAAAGCTATAGTTATTTTTTTCTAATACGTTCGTAGAAGTTTATTATCGGTTCTTGTATTAATTTTTGAGTAGTTTAGATGGGACCAATTAGGGACCGAGAAAATTTATCCAATCGGTCCCACCTAAATTACTCAATTAAAGCAAAAGAAAATAATTTCTATGTTTGCTTATTTGGACCAACATTTAAATCCCTACTTTGACTTTGTACTATCTAGACCTTTGTGTAATAAACCTGAATAAATGTGTTATAGGAGGCTCTTGGTGAGGACAATTCTCTACCCTGCTTCAGTCCTCGTAGTAATGAGCTTTGAATTTTAAAGAGTGGAAAAAGTATTTGCTAAAATTTTCTGTAAAAATCACTTTCTTGGATCTTGCGTGTCTTGAAGTTGGATGTGCATTAGCAACCGTTCTTTATATGAATAATACTCTAACTTTTTAAATATTATTAATCCTAATAAAAACTTTTTGAAAAACACTAGCTTTGCTCACCTAAAATTTGATACAATAGACTTTGTCCTGAAAGTAGAAAAATATTGGTAAAAACTCTGTACAGTATCCTGCCGTGAATAAGCACCCACCTTTTTGTAATTTCCATATCCAAAATTCTCATAATCTAGTGATCGGATCTGCATGAATCAACTTGTCAAAACGATCCGAATAGTACCAAAACCATCACTTCACTCATAAGAAATTTGGATATGAAAATTATAAAAGGTGGGTGCTTATTCACGGCAGGATACGGTAAAGATACTTCTTTAATTTCATTAGACTTTCGGTTTAATCAGCTTGTTCTGAAGTGTTAGAGGAAAAGAATTAGCAAAGACCTTTTTATAAGATTCCTTTGGTCCCTTTGATTTTATTTTCACTAGCTTGGCTTCGAAGAAGGAACTGTTTAGTAAATGCTAATTTTTTTAAATTACTACCGTATAGTTCTAAAAATAAGCACCCCTCGGAGCAATTTTTATATCCAAAATTCTCGTGATCTAATAATCAGATCTACGTAATTTTGGTACCATTCGAATCGTTTTGACAAACTGATTCGAATGGTACCAAAATTACATAGGTCCGATTATTAGATCACGAGAATTTTGGATATAAAAATTGCTCCGAGAGGTGCTTATTTTTGGAACTATACGGTACTCTGGTTTCTTTAAAATGGTTTTACCGCAAAATCCTGAAAACCATTTTCCCGAAAGAACATAATACTGACTAAATTGGCCAACATTATAACTAATGCCGGCTAACTTTGTCAGTATTAGTTTACCGGGGTAAATTCACCACCCAAATTTTTTTCAGATCACGTGATATGATTGTTCGGAGAAGCGGAAACTCTAATTTAGCTGTTAATAACTACGTATGTATGTATATACGTACGTACGTACGTAAATACGTATGTATATTAAATATAATATTTACTTTTTTACTTGAT